CTTGTCCAACAGCTGGGTGAGCGTGGGCGCAAGGGGTGTTGCCCACGTGCTGCTTGGCCCATCCGCGATGAGCACCGTCATGAATGGCTCCCACGTCGACATCGAGTGCGATACCATGTATCCGTTCAGCATGGACTTTGTCTATTCCATCGAGTCCGAGGTTGGATTTGACTTTTATTTCCGTGTGCCGGACTGGACGTCGGGCTACGTCGCCGAGGTGGCTGGGTCGTCAGCAGATGGCCAGGGCACGGCCAAACAAGAGCACGGCTTGGTCAGGTTCCAGCTCGGAAAGGGCAAACATGAGGTGAAAGTCTCGCTCGAGACGGCCGTGCGGACGGAGCAACGGTCCAACAAGACCGTCTCCGTGTTCTACGGCAACATGCTCTACGCCCTCGACGTAGGCCACAACGCCACCTCGACGCTGCCGCATGCCTACACCGATCCACGAGGGCCGGGGAGGGCGGGTTTCCCGGCCGCCGCCAAGGACTACTTTGTCCGCAACACAAAGCCCTGGAACGTGGCCATTGATCCGCGCTCGATACGCTACCACCAGGCCGGAGCCGGCGCCGCCGCCGCCGCCGCCGCCGGGGAGCATAACTGGCAGGGGCCCATCTTCGAGCCGGGCCGGGCGCCCACGCACATGACGGTCTGGGGTTGCGAGATTGAGTGGCCGCTGTTGATGGGGGTGACGCCGGACTGGGCTCCTTTGCGGCGGCGATGCGTTGGTGGGAAGAAGCAGTACCTGCTGGTTCCGTACGGATCTGCCAATGTGCACATGTCTGAGCTGCCTGTTGTAGAAATTGAGGACTATATAAGCTGAGAGATGGAAAATTGCGACCGCATTTCTGGTAAGTTGTGCATTATGACACAAACCACAAACCGCACATGTAGCATTTATGCCTTTCTGTCCGTTGGCCCTCGTGGAAGTGGACGCAGCACCGATGTGCCTTCCCTTGCTGCCAGCCAAGGCCATTCGCTGGTTGTGACAAATAGCTGTGGCGGCCTTGTGCCCACACTGTGCTGCGAGCTTAGGCTTGAAGCTGCAAAGTTGATCATGCCACAATACATTTGGGTTTTTTTTCTTTTCAAATGAAAGCTTGGAAGGAAACGTTGTTATTCTCTCGTAGTCTCTCTCTCTTTTTTTTTTCTTCTTTTTTCTCTTTTCTTCCTTTTTTTTTTCTTTTTTTTTTTTTTGTGGCATCAATCTTAGGTGGATGTCTTCTGCAGAAAACAACGATCAATAACACGCTTATCCCCTTTGGGCGCTCAGCCGGGCCCTTCCGCTGTCCTTGTTGGAACGTTGCGGGGTGGTGGAGCAGGCTGGGGTCTGAAGACAACGATGGAGTTGGCTGGCCCGCCGGGGTCCCGCTGCCGCATCTCCGTCGGCTAATGAGGGGCCGTGCTTTCTGCCACAGCACGACGGGCTGGCCGCTGTGCTAGCCTCTACGTTCATTGCCCAATTAATTCAATCAATTGCCGACGCGGAGAAGGAAGTAGCCAACAGCATTGAATCAGACATTCAAGGCAGGTACGATGCGGTGGCTCTCATGTTTCTCACGTTTCTCACGTTTCTCATCGTGGAGGGCGGGGTGCACATCGAGATGTCATTTTCGACATGATGCGTTTGTACAGATATGTGTATGTATGTACTGTATCGGCATGTCATTGCAATTTCGGGAAAAGACGCAAGCAAACGCGTGCATGCATGTGCTTGGGCAACGCAAGCACGTGTTGGACAAGGCGTGAGGCATTATTGCCGGGCGCGATGCCCCTCGAAACTACCGCCAGACGTGATAGACGAGCAAGTATAGCAAGCATGCCAAGTATACCGTGGCACCCCCAGCGGCTAATATCGCCATGTTAGCCTGAACGGAGCGACTTGGAAAGGACGGGTGCTCGGAGACCGATCTTGTATTTTTTTCCATGATGGACGGCAGACTGTGTGTGCGTGTGTGTTTTCAACGCCAGCTGGCTCGCCAGTCCACGGCCGTCAGCCGTCACCCCTTGGCGGCGTGATCCGGCCATCAAATTTTTTTTCCTTCTTCTTCTTCTTCTTCTTCTTCTTCTTCTTCTTCTTCTTCTTCGTACAAGGTGTACGTACATGCGCCATCGACCGTGTGTCCCTCCAGAAGCAACTCCATCCGTGACTGACCCGTCCGATTCCAGATTCTCTCCTTTACTGGTCCGCCCCGGACGAAGCATCTTGTTCACGCCCGACGGAGAGAAGAAGAAGGGAAAAAAAAACACCATGGCTGGATCGGCTGGGTCGGCCGGATCTGCCCGGCCCGCCGCCAGCCACCACCCAGACAGCATCGACGACTCGGCCAAATCCACGACTCCCACGGCGCGAGAGCCCATCCACCTTGTTCACGCCCGACGGAGAGAAGACCCCGACAGACAGCCAGTCGAGCTCACCGAGCAGGACAGCCGCCGCATCTGCCGCAAGACAGACCGCGTCATCCTCGCCATCCTTGTCTGGGTCTACTTTCTGCAGATTCTCGACAAGTCCGTCCTGGGCTACGGCGCCACCTACGGCCTCAAGAAGGACACGGGACTCGTCGGGAACCAGTACTCGCTCGTCGGCTCCATCGCCCCCATCGCGCAGCTGGTGTGGCAGCCCTTCTCGTCCGTCCTCATCGTCAAGGTGCCCCATCGGATCCTGATGCCCGGTCTGTGCTTGGGATGGGGCGTCGCGCAGGCGAGCATGGCTGCCTGTCACGGCTTCGGCGGCCTCATGGCGTCGCGCTTCTTCCTCGGCCTCTTTGAGGCGGGCTGTCTGCCCTTGTTCAGCGTCATCACCAGCCAGTGGTACAGACGCGCCGAGCAGCCCATGCGGGTGGCTGCTTGGTACGGGACCAACGGGCTCGCGACCGTTGTGGCTGCTGCGCTTTCCTACGGCCTGGGCCATGTTGAATCGGGTGTGCTCAAGGCGTGGCAAACGTACGGTTTGCATTCTGCGTTTTCTCTTATTTTCTCTTATTTTCTCTTATTTTCTCTTATTTTCTCTTATTTTCTCTTATTTTCTCTTGTTTATTTTTTTTATTTGGTTATTTACCCCCTCCTGTTTCAAATACTCCATACTCTACATCTGGTGGCATTGACCGACTCCTTCCAGCATCTTTCTCTTCGTCGGCCTCATGACCATCATCTCCGCTCCCTTCATCTACTGGAAACTCGACAACGACATCGGCTCGGCTCGCTTTCTGACCGAGCTTGAAAAGGCCCAGGCCGTCGAGCGGCTCCGTGCCAATCAGACAGGAACGGGCAGTCGCGAATTCAAATGGAGTCACCTTGCCGAAGCCGCCCTGGAGCCCAAGACGTACTTGTGGATCGGCATGGCGCTCTGCCTCAACGCCCTCGCCAGCGTCACCAACACCTTCGGCCCGCTCATCATCAGCGGCCTCGTCTCCGACAAGTTCACGTCCACCCTGCTCAACATGCCCTTTGGGGTGGTGCAGGTCGTGGTCATCGTCCTGGCCTGCTGGCTGGCCCAGAGGGCACGCCTCAAGGGCGCCGTCCTCATGCTCTTCATGCTCCCCGTCGTGGCCGGCCTCGCCGTCCTCTTCTCCGTGCACCGAGACCCGTCCGCCCGGCCGGCCCTGCTGGTCGGGTACTACCTGCTGGCCTTCATGTACGGCGGCATCCCCCTCATCGTCACCTGGATCGTCGGCAACACGGCCGGCACCACCAAAAAGTCGGTCGCCATGAGCGTCTACAACGCCGCCACCTCGACCGGCAACATCATCGGCCCGCTCCTCTTTGACGACAAGGACGCCCCCGCCTACAGGCCCGGTCTCCGCTCCTGCCTCGGCATCGTCGTCGCTCTCGTCGCCATCGTCGCCCTCCAGTGGGCCAACCTGATTCTCCTCAACCGTCGGCAGGAGAAGAAGCGCGTCCGCAACGGCAAGGCAGCCAAGGTCCCCGACCTCTCCATGGAGTCGACCTACTATGCCATGGGGGGGCAGGACCATGACGAGGCCCCATCGCAGGATGCAGGCCTGGCACGGCTGGGAGACCAGGCCTTTCTGGATCTCACCGATCGCGAGAATGACGAATTCATATACATTTATTAGCTGAATTGGTCTTTGACGGTTGATGCCCAGCTCCAACGCTTGGACTTTTATAGTGACGTTGTGTAGAATAAGTTCTGTACCCTTTTGCGGTGATGGCAAAACTTGCACTTTCTTTTTTTTTTTTTTTTAATTCCTATTTCCCACAACATACCCGGCGCTAGTTTCCTCTCATCCATGCAAAAGGTCTCTTCTGTACAAATTGTGTACAGCCACGAAAGTACTCCCCACTGTGTTATCATGCAAATCACCCTAAAAAAAAATGTGCCAAAGTTGCACCTCCGCACTTATGCACATCGATGCACTACTTGATTGGAGGAGGCCGCCAGGGGTTGTCGAGGAAATCTCGAAAAGCCCCGCCTCTTCCTTCCATCCTTCATCTTGATGGCTTCGTTGCCGCTACGGCTCTCACGTGGATGCAGACGGCATCCTCATGTGGGGGTCGTAATGAGACCTCTCGCAGTGAGCGCAGCACGCGTTTGGAGACGTCTGGCGGATCCTTGTTGATCCGGTCTCTTGGGTGGGCATCGAGGTCTCTTTTCCTTGTCGGGGCTACCCGGGACGAAAAAAAAAAAGACGTCTAGTCTTGGATGTTGTGTGCCTTGTCCGTGGCGTCGTTGGCGGCGATTGTATGGAAGGTATTTTCTTATGTTTTCTTTTTCTTTTAAGAAAAGAGAAGAAGAAGTAAGGGAAGAAAGAAAGAAATAAAGAAACTAGATAGGATTAAAAAAATATAGCAGAGACGTGCACCACCGTAGAGCAAACCCTACGGACTATAGTTTCTTTATTCTTTCTCTTCTCTCTCCTTTTCCTTTTTTCCTTTTATTTTTTCCTTTTTTTTCTAAAAAAAAAAAATAAAAGCATTATAAAAAAGAAAGACCATTAAAATACATCCCTACCGTGAAGAGCGGGAGCTCCCCAAAAAAAACGTCTCCAGGGCGTGATTCGAACACGCGACATTCTGATTGAGCTGATTCCGTTACAGTCAGACGCCATAAACCAACTAGACTACCCGGAGCAGTAGTGGACGTGACTCCACTGGGTGCTGTTGTTGACAGCGCTAACACTATTTGTGTCTATATACCAACCACGTGGGGCGGGAACCCGATTCGATGGTCACTGCTTTTACGCCCAGGCTTGGCGGTTCCTTGGCCCCGAGGTTGCTGACGAATGACGGGAGGCTCTGCTTCTTGTCTGCCTCATCATTGACGTTTTTTCGTGGTACAAAGTTTTGCGTTACAGCATACACGCACCGTACGCCAGTGCAGTAAAAGCCATGGCCAAAGTACCAAACTTCTCAGCCAGTTCCCCCCCCCTCGCGTCAGGATCGCAGCGCAACGGTAAAGGGATGCATTCGACGCGGGGACTCGGGCAGACGGTGTGTAGGTATTTGCCCTTGGAAAAAGGGGGCCCTCCCTGCCATTTCTGCCGAGTCGCCCTTTCTGCCCTGGACGACCCGTTTGTGTGAAACATGTTTAGAAGGGGTTTCATTGAATTATTTTTTATATTTTTTATATAATTTTTCCCCCATTTTTTCTCCATTTTTATATTTTTTTGTTAAAAAAAATTTTTCTTACAAAAAAAGAAACAAAACAAAAAAACTGATTTCATTTCTCGTCTTTATTGAAAATGCCAGGCAGTCTCCGACTAAAAAATAATGTCATGTCCCGCCCACATGGTGTCGAACTGAGGCCGCACCGCCAATTCATCCAGCCCCCGTGAGCCTGAACCTGAGCCTGAACCTGAACCTGAGCCTGAGCCGTGCTGGTCCCAGTCAAAGTCTGCGGCGGCCGTCCCGAGCATCCCGTCCGCCATGTTCATCGGCGTGTTGTTCACGATGAATTGGCCCAGCGAGTCGAGGTCCCTCCATGAGAACCCACTCAACGGGTCCATCTCCATGACGGTCCTGGCACTCGTGGACGGCGGAGCGGCTCGGTCCTGTCGCTCGTGCTGATCGACCGCCGGCTGAGGGGGCGGCTGCTCCGTCGCTTGCTCGTTGCGTGCTGCTGTTGCGCTCATGTGTGCATGTGTATGTGCATGTACGTGTGCATGTGCATGTGCATGTGCATGTGCATGCTTTGCCGTCGTCTTTCTCCAGAGGAGGCGCAGGGACGTTGCGTATCGTCTCCCGAGGCTTTGGGGGTTGTTGGATGTCTTTTGCAGCTGCGTGATGGTGCCGTGTATGGCGCGTTGCACACCGCGATCGCCTTCACTGCTGATGGCTCCTGCCAGCCGTGCCTGAAACGTAGAGTATGACGGTCAGCAAGTGTATAGTGGCAGAAGCTTATAAACCCCCTTCCCTTCTTCTTCTTCTTCTTCTTCTTCTTCTTCTTCTTCTTCTTCTTTTTTGTTCCTTCGTCTTCCTTCCTTCCTCCCCGCAATATCCCCCACCTACCTTGAACAAAAACACCGCCGCGTAAATCACATAGAGACAGTACTTGAGAGGCATGCATTTGAGCCCGGCCACTGGGTCTATAAAACTGTTCAGTATGCTGAGAAGCGAATTGGCCGCGTCAATGGATTCGTAGATGAAGCGTGCATCCGGTTTTCCGGCCACGTTGGAAAACAACGGCTCGCGCGAACCCCCTGGCCCTTCTTGGGCGTTGTGGGCTGCGGCGCGGTTCAAATTGGCCTGGAAGGCGAATGCGTTGATGTATAAGCGCAGAAACTCAAAGGAGAGGACGAGGGATGCCTTTACGGGTGGTGTGACTGCGAGAGTGACATTAGTACATCAACATCAACGACTCGGATGTACTAGATGACTGGGTTCTTTCTTTTCTGTTGGGCACGTGTGTGACTGTCTACTGTCCACTTACAACTATGATTTGCCCAAGTCAATTTCCATTTTCGCAACAAAGAAGCAAAATCGTCCTTTTGCCCGAGAATTAGCATCTGATCCAACAAGTGAGTTTTCGGGATCCGTCTTTCCGCTTTCGCCGACGTACAATATATCTGACGTATTCTCCGCCAACGTACAGCTGCTTTCTGTGACTTGTTGACGAGTACAAAATGTCATGGGCATTACTGATGAGTTGTGTCAGCTCGAGATGGGCTTGAAATAACAATCCCATGTTGTCGGGACCAAGCGCCTGGGTCTGTAATGTTGGGAAACCAGCTGCTCGCAGATGAAGGGCCGGTCCGGGACCGCGTGACCAGAATCCTTTTCCGAGTCGGATCGAGACTTGTCGGTCGCTCATGTAACATGCTGCAAAGGGAAACGAATGAAGAATGAGAATATCGAGAATTGGTCAGCAAGAGTCCTTGGCGAGAAAAAGTGCCATGTATAGAGCACGATGGGGTATAAAAAAAGCCGGGATGTGCAAAAAACAACAACCATAGTCATAACAATGACTTACCTGCCCAGACTACACGCTTGCGACTCATCTCTGCTGATATATTTCCGTCATCTGGCAAAAGGGCGGCCTGCTCGAGTTTCTGAAGATAGCCAAGCCTAATAGCCATCCCCACAAGCATCCAAGCACCGTGATCCTCCTGGCCACAGCCAATGGAGGTGTTCTCCTGAGGTCGTTGAGGTGCCCATTCGGCAAGAATCAGGAGTGCCTCGACGGAGCCAATCGAGATGGACCCGGCATAGATGAGGGTCGACATGAAGCTCTCGATGTATCGAGAGCACGCCTCATACACCCGAAACCAGGCAGGGTCGTCTTTCGACGCCACGGTGAGAACCGCGGTCAGGAGATGGGGTTCCTTTTCGGCCCATTCCAATGGGGAACTGCTTTCAAAGATTTTGACGTGGGCAACGGGAAAAAAAGGATGAAACTTTTCGTGATATCTGGGCGGCCACCGGGGGTGTTAGCATTTTTTTTTTTTCTTTCTGTCTTTTTTTTCTTTCTACCTTTTATCTTCAAGAGACAAAAATAAATAAAAATAAATAAATAAACGGGGGAAATATTGTGATACCTTTTCAGTAGATAAGTCACCTCGGCAGGCGTCAGGATGCCGTCGTCCAATGGAGGATAGTAACTAGCAGCATTTCTGCTCACTGCTTTTTGCAGACCGTCAACATGGCGAGAATCGGCGGCTGGCTGGCCTAGGACTGTACCGCGCTCTCGACCCGGATCCAGATCAGCGACCTGGGCAAGCAGGTCGAGCGCGTCCGAGGGATTCAGGAGGTCCGTAGATGCAATATGACCTTCCAGCCCGTCTGAGCTTGTCCTTGAGCCGGCCGCGAGTGCGAGTGCGACTGCTGGTGCGGATCCGCCATCGGGGGGGCTATGCGCACGCCAGTTGCCGGTCTGTTGTGAAGAGGATGGCCATCCTTGTATCTCATGTGTTTCGCGTGGTTGGCGGCCGGAACGCGGTCGACTTGACTGCCTGCTGTGTGAATCACTTGCATCGACATCGTCGTCGTGTCCGATACTAGATGGCCCATGTTGGGCAATCGAGGTCTCGGCTTGGTCGTCGCTATCGTGCTTTGTTGGTAGAATGGCCGAGTTGCGGACGCCCTTGATCCTGCGACCGCCACGTCTGGATTTTGCCAGCACGCATTCCAACTGTTGCTCAACACATCGGCGGCAAGGGGGCAAGCCAGACATGCCCTCGGAGTCACTGTTCATGCAAGCCCCAAGTGTTAGCAGGCGATGGGGGCGACGAGTCGGTTTTTTTTTCTTTCTTTTCTTTCTTTTTCTTTTCTTTTTTTTTTCTTCTCCCTTTTTTTTTTTTTTTTTTTTTTTTTTTTTTTTGGATGTCTCTCTTCTTCCGTTGTCTCTCTCCTCCCCCTCGCCCTTCCCCTCATTGCGGCAGATTTGTCACGCCTGCGGCGTTGGGCATCTGGGGCGTCGAGTCTTGGGGCGCGTTGGTCTCGCAAGCTTACAGATCACATCTCGTTTTTCGCATTCGACACGATAGACACGCGCGTGATACCCTTTTGCCCTTGGATCGCGCCATGTTGCGGGTCGGCGTCTGGCTCGGCCGCGAGTCCATCGGCTAAGAGGCGTTTTATCCTAGGGCGGATAGAGTGTTTAAGTTGTGTCAAATGCCGTGATGTGATGGTCCGATGGATTCGTTTGATCCAGGCTGCGGGGAACTCTCCGCGGCGGAGTCCGTGTCAATAGCCGCCCACGCGTCACTGGCTCAACGACCTGGGGCCAATTGGCCAATGCGAAGACGGACAATGGGCTAGTGCCATCTCCACCATCGGCAATCCACATTTTGTCTGGACACTAGCTCGAGATGTGAAACTAATTCTTGCGTCGTACTTACCTACTAGAGTTAGTGGCGGCGAGTTGGGTATCGACACTGACAAGACACTTGCGTATATATTTTTCTCCATGTCTCCTTCCATTTTGGTTTTTACTCTCTTCTTCTGTGCTGTGCGTCGGTTTACTTCTTCGGGGGTAATTTCTCTTCTTCATTTTTCTCTTGAAATTGTAGCCCGGCCGGGGTGTTCTGTCTTCTTCTTAAAATAATCAAGAAGGAAAGAAAAGAAACAAAAAAGAGAATCCAAGAGTTCGACTCTTTCGTCGTCAAATTCTCGTCGGCGCGAAGAACAAAAAAAAATTATCAGCGCAACCGCTAACAATCCGTCACAACGTCAAAATGGGCCCCACAAAAAAACCTGGCGTTTTAATGCTCGGTATGACTCATCACGCCCATGTTGAGTTCGCCGAGCTGTCGGATGTCGCTGATGTTACGGTTCGATGCCCCTGTCAAATTTCTCATGCCGCATGACTGAACCAATTCAAACTGACGGAATGGCCAACTGGCAAAACAACAATGTTTAGCAAGTGACGTCTGGAAGCAGAGACGACTTCCTGCGCGACTGCGACGCCGGAAAGTACAATCATGTTGTTGCCATATCAAGAACATTCGACTCGGTCGAGGTAAAGCTCCATGTCTTTTTTTTTTTTTTTTTTTTTTTTTTTTTTTTTTTTTTTTTTTTTTTTTTTTTTTTTTTTTTTTTTTTTTTTTTTTTTTTTTT